AAAGAAGATGGAAATAGGTTTTCTCTATGGCTTTAGGAGATGGCAGTAGGAGCAGTGAACTCGCACTGCAGCAGAGGAAACTTAAGTTGGATGTTAGAAAAATACGATTTCACTGTGAGGAAGGTTAAGCATTGGAATAGGCTCCACAGAGAGATTGTGGAATCTCCATGCTTGCAAATGTTCAGGGGCAGGTTAGACAGACATTTGACTTGGATGGTTTAATGAGAGATGCTCCTGCCTTGAACAGGGCGCTGGGCTAGATGACTTCATTGGTTGCGTCCAGATGAGCAGGGGTGTGTGCTTGCAGTGGCACGAATAGTAGTGGCACAGATTTGTGCTGCTTCGTGCTGCAGTGCACTCCCCTACATGTATTCTTTGTTGTGGGACACGTCCTGCTGTGGGCAAGCTGCCCTTGCCCAGCTCCTCCTGGCTCCTAGTGTGCTAGAGCAGAGCAGTTGCAGCACAGATGGAGCATAGAGACTCTGGCCATCAACTAGGGCATCTCACTGGAGAACCAAACTTCTGTTTTGGTTAGCATGTGCTGCACCACTTTTTTCCTAGCACTTTTTTTTTTTTTTTTTTTTTTTTTGTTACCAGGAAATCCCAGTAGCAAATTTTGCCCCTGTACTGTAAATCTGCAGCATGGGGCATGTTTTAACGTTCCATGTGTGTGGTTTGTGGCACCGCAAAGAGGTTTGTGATGCCACAATCCGCATGTCCCGGCTTGTCTGGACACGGCTGTTAGGTCCCTTCCATCCCTACTTTCCTTTGATCCTATGTCTTTACCTTGGTTACATCTTCTTCCTTGGCTTACCCACTGTCTTTCAGATCTATGGGGGTATTGTAATAATACCATTACTGTAGAAGCACAGGTATCATAGTGGATAATGGTGCCAATAGCAGCACCATTATTAACTCCTTGAAAGGTGTATGGCTCTGATGGATGCAAGTAATTGATGACTGCAGAGAGGCTTGTTCTGGGAAACCAGCAGTTCTTCCTGTTTGTAGAACTACTTTTAGAACCTGACTGCTTCAGTAGTTGAGCACCATTTTTACCCCTTAGCCCAGGGGTGGGCAAAATGCAGTCTGCGGGCCAGATGCGACCCACCAGGCCATTTTATCCAGCCTGCGAGGCCCCTAAAAAATGTAGAAAATTAATATTTATCTGCCCCTGGCTGCCTGTTATGCGGCCCTTGATGGCTTGCCAAAACTCAGTAAGCGGCCCTCCGCCTGAAATAATTGCCTGCCCCTGCCTTAGCCTATGTTTTGGCTGCATTTGGGCTAGTTATCAAAACTAGACAATTGTTTCAACACCACTGAACCTCAAACAATGAAATTTGGTGGATAGCCCGCTAGCATTTGGCCATAATTTTTTTTTCTGGTCCGTGTACCACTTTTTCCCCAGCTACCTGTTTCAATGAACCACAGCAAGCCAAGATCAGTTGGAGAGTGTTGATCTTCATTTTTACTGTAGTTCCCAGACTTTGAAATCACTTTTAGTAGTAACCTACTCAAACTAGACTGAGATTACTCATCCTATATTCAGTGTTAATGCATTTTAACCATAATTCTTTGACTTTTCTCAGAGTCCTACTATCCTACCATACCTCAAATCCACTAAATGGTATGCTTTCTTTAATAATATATATTCATGATTCTCCTTAATGACACTGTGTTTTGGTTAAGCAAAAGACTAGCAAAATCTGGAAATATACACATAATCCCAATGATAAGAGAATTCCATGTTTCAGTTATTCCTTAAGAAAAATGCTCCCCCACAGTTTTGGAGGATCTACAAGGCTCTATGACGGTATTCCACACAGCACCTGCTATCTTAAACAGGTCTGGGCTCCATAAAATCTCACAAGTGTGACAGTATAAGTATAGTGTCTTGCTAGTTCTGCTTTCTCCTTAATCTCGTATATTCATGGAATATATTTACATTACATGGTTCCTTCTTCTCTCCTTTGCTGCCTTCAATGCCAACCATCCTGTTTTCAGTACCTATTCTGAAGAGGGATGAATTGAAATGACTTGAATTTTCTTTTTTCCCATGGAAATTGTCAGGGTGACAAGGAAAGGCAGGCTGTTTCAGGCTACCACTCTGACTGTCCAGTTGAAAACAGGAATCAAAAACATTTCCATCTTCCATTCCAACTGCAAGGCACATTTCTTTGCCTTGGTCATCTTGGTAATATATTAATATACCACAACCTATATATTTATGAAAAATAACACCAAATTAAAACAAGAACAGTCAAATCTTATCCTCTGTTCCCCTGACTACCCCGCCCCCCCCCCAGCTCCCTCCAAAACACAAACAAACATACAGCTAGGAAACAAATGGACAGAAAATGCTTACCAAAATCTCCCAGAACAAAGCACTCTACTTCAAATACTTCTCTTCATGAAGAGAAGGTGAGCAAACGTGATACACTACTCAGGTTTCTTAATGTACTGCTGCAAGACACTAAGATACTGTTGTGATGAGTGCTCTGTAAGAATCTACATAGAATGCAATAGAGTGTTGGCAGGTACATTTCAGATAAAGTATAGATTGCTATCTAGTTGAATAATAATTTCCTTTATTCTACACTTCAGGCTCAATTCAAGATAATGCAAGATAGACACCTCTCATGCTGACAGTATCTTAGACATCTGATTTGCTCAGTAAAAGATTTTTTTCCCCTTGAACAAGACCCTTTCATACCTTTTATAAGACCAGTTACAATTATTTGAAAGAGAGCTAGGGGAATATGTTTAGATAATGGCCTTTCTCTTTTCTTAAAAATCTAGTAACGGCTTCACTAGTTTCTTTTTCTTTCTTTGTAATTTTTTTTCTGGATCAAATTAACTTGGATCCAAAACCTATAGTGTTTTTTTTCTGTTATGGCTGCAGATAACTGTCTTTGGCTGTCAGTAAATGTTTCTCTTGGCATATGATTAACAGGGAGCCTACAACTGACAAATCCATCTCTGGGTAGTATAGTCATGAAATCTACCTTCTCTCAGAAAAAATGTTGATGTCCTTTTGCTAGATTAATCTATCATAAATCTGTACATCTACAGTATCTTGACTGCTGAACTACAGCAACTGGATTTCATGAAGTTTAGCTGCCGCCCTCCACCCCCCAAGGCTCCTCTCTGAGAAAGCATTTGTTCTGGACTTTGCCATGTATCTATGTATCTCTTAGTGACAACCTGAATACAGTATAAAATCAAATTTGTGTGTGTACTGTCCAAAGAACTAATTATTTTGCTACTAATTTTTGGTAGATTAGTTTGAGGTTCCTTGAAGATTTGATAAAACATTGAATAACACTGACATGGTGCAGCAGCAATTCTAAATTATACCATAGACATCAAGGGCCAGATGTAGATCAATCTTGTAGACTCCTAAACAGGACTTGGGCAGAATTTAGGGGACTCAAAACATCTTCCAGGAGAGTGTTCTAACATAAGGCTTGAGAATAGGCAGGATTTTCCACCCAGCCTTTTAAGGGTAGTCCACTGTGCAGACAGGAGGGCAAGATTCATGGGGCCAGAAGGAAAGCAAGCAAAAAAGAGCATGACTATGCTCTGTGAAGAAGGTAGTCCTCTATGAATCCTGGAAATTTTTTTTTGCCAGTAATTGGTTAATGTAAAATGCAGAAACAGTCCTCCCCCCCCACCCCATACTAATTTTGTGTACATCTGGATACCCTAGTTTGCTATCACTATAACTACTATCAAATTTTTGTAACGCCTCTTTAAATAAGAGCTAGTTTAGAATGCATTGGATAAGTATAGAAAAATACTTGTTCAATTGGTTTTAAAACTATCTGTTTTGAAATTTAACACCATAAGCACGAAGCATCTAAATTGACATAGTATAATTTTGTTTTAACAATATTCTTAGAGGTGCACCGATACATTGGTCCCATATCATATTGGCACCGATAAAAGGAAAATTGACATTACCGGCAATCAGCTTTTTTTGGCTGATGTGGTTGATTAATGTGGTTGATAAATGTCACGTGCATGCACAGCCGCAGCGCAGTCTGGCAGCATGGAAAGCAATGTCCGGCTGGTAAGTCCTGTTGTGGGGGAAGGAAGGGGCGTGGGTGGGGCAGACCAAGGTCCCCACAGTGAGGGAGGGAGTGGGGCTAGGGCTGAGGCAGGCTCTGCACAGCCAGGGCAGGGCATGAGACAGAGGGCAGTGCTGCCCTCTTCCTGGTGGGTGTAGGGGGCAGTTGGACTGGGCTGTGCTTGAGGTGGGCAGTGGTGGTGCTGGGAAGGGGAGCTACAGGGTGGGCTACAGCCACTCCAGAATTTGCCACAACCTTCACCATTGTAGTGCTACTGTCGCCTGCCCCAAGTGCAGCCTTGGCCCAGCCCTCCTCTGGGAAGACCCTGGCACCGTCCCCAGCCCCAGCCCACAACGGCAGCCCGCCCTTGTCCTGCATGCAAATCCAGGGGGCACATGCCCCCCATACCCTCCCAGGGTGCATCCCGTGGCCTGGCCCCCCCCCCCCCCAATCCCCCAGATGAGCTGCTTGTCTTGTGCCCCAACCCATCTCGGCTGTGTAGCTCCTGCCCCAGCTCCAGTGCCAGCCCTACTCCCTCCCTCATTGCAGGAGCCTCGGTCTTCCCCCCCTCCACCCATGCCCTTTCCTTTCCCAATGGCCCTTCCCCAACAGTGGACTTACCAAATGGACACTGCTTTCCATGCGGTTGGGCCGCAGCAGTCTTATTGATATCAGCTGATATGGCTTGTTAAAAATTGGCCATTGGTATTGGCCAAAAAAATCTCTATCTGTGCACCCCTAAATATTTTACATATATGTTTGAAACTCTGTTACTTTTTATTGTTGGAAAATTGAAATATTTTTAAGCATTTTATTGTTGACACATTATATTTTGAAATTTATAGTAGGTTTTTGCAGTATTTTTTCTTCTCTTTACATTTCTTTCAGTCTCTCCTGAGGCAGTGGGATTCCTTTCAGCTGTTGGAGTGTTTATTATCTTGATGTTACTCCTTTTCCTATATATTAATAAAAAAATGTGTTTTGAAACTGTTGCTGGCTTCCCAGACCTTGATTCAGGATACAGCGCAAGAAAGAATTCACAAGACAAACTTTGTAAGTATATGAACTTTATTCTACTTGATTTTGATGTATGGAAAGTTAATACACACTTTTTTTAGTGTAAATAAAGTGGTCCACAGGAGGAAAATGCATGTTATTGTATGTAGATGAATTTGAGGATTGTGTACCATCTGGAAGAAAGACTGCCTCTTTGATTACTGACCTACAGAAACTCTACACGTCTCCATGGCTTTTGCATGTGAGAAGATGCTTCTTTTTCCTTATGTCTCCTGAAACATTGAAATACTGCATGGTTGTCTGTAATAAAAATAGATTTAGGTAACAGGATTGTTGAGGGAGATGCACACAACAAACCAAGTTAATTTTCTAATGCTTTTGCAGAATAGGAAGGCTGTATAGTTAGAGAAGGATTTTAAAGGAAATCAAACACCAGAAATTGAAATATGTCTCTTTACTGACTAATAAATTAGTTCTAGGCCTTAGCTACTTGGAAGAAAGCGCCTATTTAGCTAAGATAGCACCCAGACTAGTACAAAACCAGCCAACCAACCAACTCCTGCCCCTCCCCTCTCCTTCTGCCAAACAGCCCAATAATATTACACAAAATAAATAAAACCCTTAGAAATGTCACCTATCAAACTTTTCTCAGGGGTCGGGAATATGTGTTTTGTATATACCTAAGTTTGGGGGTCAGTGAACTGGATACCTTTCTACTTTGAGGCTATGATTATTCCATTGATAGCTGAGATTAGCTCACTTCTGAAGAAGAGACCAGCCTAAAATAAGGGACTATGGAGTATTAAGTGATTGATTTGCTTACTGGGACTCTTCTCTACTACCTCCTTCACAGCTGCTTCTCAGAAGGCAGGGCTAATTTTGGTTTCTGAGCTAGTGATTGAGGTTTCTTGTAGCGGTCAAACCTTTTAACATAGGAACACAGAATGAGAAGGAGTTTCTGGGTCATTGTTCCAGTCTCCTGTGATCACAGACAACCAGGTGTAGTCAACATTTGTCCCAAAGGTTCTACAAAAAAATCTATTCTGGCTCTTTTTGTAGGTCACAGCCAGAAAACGACTGATATAAAAAAGGCCAGCAACCCTAAGGTGTGCCACAGAGTGCAGGAGAAACAAGGATGTACATTTCTTTTTAACAAGTTGGCCTGCTGTGGACCAAGTATTCATAGCCAAATTCATCCTCCTTTTTTGAAAGTCAACAAATATTTTAAGTTAAAAATAATTCTTTTGGGCATGTGCTGTTGTGCTATTATATTAATCTGAAGTAATTCATGGTTGTTTTAATTAATTTAATACATATTATTTACATTTATTTAAAACTTCTTCTTTGCAGGTATAGAATAAAAGTACACATTTCTTTTTTCCCCACACATTTTGTTTTTGTTTTGTTTTTTCTTTTTTTCCAGTAATCCATTGTATTATTGCTAGTTGTTCCTGAATTATGGCAAAAGACTTCACGTTTTTACAGTGGAAAAATATTGTATGACGCGAGTTGATTTTTCACTTCATTTTGAGGATTTTTCTGCCTTGATTTATTAATTCTTTCAGTGCTTACAAAATCTGGGGAAAGAGCAAAGCTGCTGTGGCCCTGGTTTATATAACTGAGATAACAAAGCTAACTCACCATAATATTGAATTTGGCTGTGCTTGAAGAATTCACAAAACAAAAGACTTTTCTACAAAGTGCTTTGGTGAATAAAGAAATTAGACAAATGGCATTTTTTAAAAACTTTCAACAAAATCTGAACCTTCCTTCTGTGTCTTCTCTGGTTGACACGCTTAGCAGTGCTGTAGATGATCTGACCAGTGCTGTTGGAGAAGTTGGTTACTGTGTAGCTGATTCAGTCACAGAGCAGGTAACGAGTATGATTAATGGCTTTCGCACAGAAGATGAAAATTTTAGAACACAGGAAGATAAAGCAGTGCCAGTTAAAGATGAAGCTATAACGTCATTACCAGATTCTAAGGAGACAAATATGAAAGAGAACTTGTGTGCTACCGAAGATAAAAATAAACAAACTAATTATAATTCATTAAATGTTGCAAAACAAGATACAGCTCAAGACAGATCATCCCATTATGTCAAGGACAAACACCAATATCAGTTAAAGCAGAGTGATGCTAATAAACACTTCAGTGATAAGGAAGACTTGGAAAAAGTAGGAAGACCTGTTAAAAGCAAAGGAGAGAAAGGAAAGGAGTACTTGGTAAATGAAAAGTTCTCAAAGGACAATAGTCTGAAGAGTAGTAAACTTGTAGCAGAAGAATCTGTCATTAAGAAACCCAATAGTGGGTTGCAAGTCATATCGGAGAATTCAAAGAGACACTTGCCTAAAAAAGGTAAACCAAGATCATCAGCAGTTGATTTTAAAGACCACAGAGAAGTTCATGGTACAAATGTGTCCAAGCATTTGGAAACAAAAGTAAATGAAGCACAAAAGCAAAGCTTTTCAGAGTCTAATTTGAAAAAGGCACAAAAAGATTGTGTTAAAGAAGTGAAAGAAAATAAATGTAAAGCGTTTTCTGATGGCAAAGGACAACCCTTAATGAAGCATGAAGAAAACGCCTCAACTACCCTATCAAAAGAAGGTAAAAAAAGAAACTATAAAGAAGCAGAAAAAAATGCAAGAGAAGTAAGTAGTATGAAAACAACAGAAAAAGGTGAGGAGTCTTTCAGCAAATTGTCTTCCTGGCCTTTTCTGCACCTTTCACTGCTTACTACTATTACTTCCCAATTTACAGATTTCACTATAACACCTCTTTCTTGTCAGTGGAATCTTTTATAATGTGTTTTATTTGCTGCCTAATTGCCATGATGTTTCTTAAAACCCTAGCTAGTTTTGTTTGTTTTTGGTCTATAGAACTCATGGTTAAATACTTTTCCTCATTCTTAAATCTTCTTTGTTCCCAAATAAAAACTATTTCTTCTTTTTCCCAAGTGCTTTGTGTGCTTTCTCTTGGATACTGAAATTTTTAATGAAAGTCTTTGCTTTGTCATAGAACGCTTCTAAAATTCTTTTTACCATGTCAGTTTCCTGGATTAAAAGTTATATAACACTTGATATAGTCATCTGAACTCTCTTAAGGGATGTATTCAAAGTATCTTTGTTCTTATTGCATATGGATCAGCCATATGCATATGGTTTTTAAGATTTGAGATTATCTTAATTATAGTATTTTTTTCAAAACAAAGTTCTAGACTGAATATATTTTATTTATTCTTTGTAAGCAATTGCAACCATGTCTTTAAAACGGCTGTCTAGAAAATAGTACGTGAGGACTTAAAAATAAATAAATAAATAAACAAAAAGACTAAGATGGGATTTTGGAAGCTTATGACCAGGGATCTGGGTTTTCCATTTGCCATAGAAAAACTCCAATTTTCTCCTTGCCATAGAAAAACTGCAATTTTCTCCTTTAAAGGACAAAAACGTAGGAAAATCTAAGTTTCCTTTTGCAGGCTGGCAGAGTTCCAGTCTGCAGGGGGCTGCTTGGGGCTGGGGTGGTGGAATGCAGGCGTGCTCCTAGCTGCCTGCAGGTAAGTCTATGTGGTGGGCATAGGCAACGTGGGGGAGGGGTGGAGGACAGACCGAGGCGGGGGCAGCAGCAGCTATGGTAAGGGAGGGATTAGGGTAGGTTTGGCAGCTGGGGCTGGGGGCGCTGCCCAGCTGGGGTGGTGCAAGGGGCCGGGGTGGGAATGCACAGCTATAGGGCCCAGCTGAGGGAGCAGGATGGAGCCAGGTGGGGGAGGTATGTGTGCGGCTCCTAGTGGTGGTGGCACTGAGCTTCACTGTCCCATTCTACCCTTCTGTGCCAAGTCCCACTTGCTGGGCTGTACACACACACACACACACACACACACACACACACACACACACACACACGTGTTTCATTTTAATCGCAGGAAAACAGATTTTTGGGTCTTTTCATCAGAATTTTGGATTTTTTACCAGATAAAACCAGGATCCCTACTTAGGACACACAAACATGAATTTCTTATACCTGTTTTAGGATGGAAAGTCTTGTTTCTAGCTTAACAAGGAGGTAATTTTAGAGTAAAATAATGTTTGAAGACTGGCAATTAAAAACCATTAGAAATAAAAATAAGTGAAAAAGCTGCCCCCTTTTTAAGGAAGATTATGATCTCACAGGGGAAAGATATAAACCAACAATACATAAAATGTGTTTTTACTATAGTAAGCTTATAAAATATGATAATTGTATTGATTGAATGCGACAGACAAAACCTGGTGTTTTAATAAAATTAGCATTAGGCTTTATATTTCTGTGCTATGAGACCAAAATCCTTCTCTTGGGGCTTTGTGTCCTCAGGGACATGACTAAAGTAATTTTTTGATGCATTATCCTTACTTTTTCAGTGGGTATTCACTTATTGATTTGCTAATTTCAGCCATTCATATTGCATCTGTAGGGTGAATTAATAAGTGACTAATATGGAATGTGATTATAGTATACTGCACCACATAAACACAACGTATATTTTCTCTTGTTGGAAATGGTTTGCTGTGAAGGAGAAGTAGTTTATGGCACTTGGATAAGGAAAATAAAAATATATTGCCTATGGTAGCAAAAGGGGAAAGTAAAAGGAAGTTCTTCAGTAAGTACATGAGACCTTTTGGGTAAGTTGTCAGGTAAAGAGAGTAGAGAAATGTGAAAAGGCAAAGGCAAAATTAGAGGCATAAAGCACAGGGGATTTTAGGTTCAGTAAAAGGATTTTGTCTTTTATGGGAAGAGATCCTTTTTTTTCTAGACCCTAGGACAGGGGTTAGCAACCTCCTTACGAACCATGGGCTATCCATTGTGACCCCTTGCTGTACCCCAATTCCTGCT